GGGGTCAAAAGTAAAAATTTCCCAGTAGTTTTCAAAAGCGACGTGAAAAACAAAAGAAAAATTAAGGAAAAACGGAATTTGGTTTTTGGGGTAACTTTGACCGTAGATACATGAAATTTTGACTGAATGTTTATATTAGCATTTCCTATACACCATACAATTTTGAAAATATTTTGACTCTTTTTGAGCTGTTTACGGACATTTTCAGTTTTCAATTTTTTTAGTTTTTTTTTCTATAAATATCAATAAAGTTTTATCTGTTGGGCCAAAAAATGTATAAATTTAATACAAAGCTCCTGATATATTGTTACAATATCAGTTGAAAAATATTAAAAATACATAGTCACAATTTTTTTTTATAAGCATTTAAAGATCAAATTTTGACAAAATTTATCAAATTTTAATTTGAAAAATTATTTTGTAGTTAAAAATTTATAAAAATTTCAATTTTTGTATCTAAGAATTGAAAATTTAAAACAAGATTCTACATATAAGTAATTAATTCTGTTACCAAAAAATCTAAAATATACATTTACACAGTTTATTTTTATAGTCATTTTAAGTACAAATTTGGACGAAATTACATATTAAAAACCTAGGATAACTATTTTAGTTATTTTGTTGTGATTGTATAATATTATTCGTGGGTACTTGAAACTTCTAAAGTATACTATTATATATCTATGTTAGTACCACGGTTTTTTGTTGATGTATAACGCGTTATAAGTACCTAATTGATATTATGATATGATTAATTTGGAATTTATTATAGGTACCTATTATAGGTCAATTTTTTTTAAATACTATAGACTATAATATAATATTATGTCTTATACCTAGACTGACATACTGTCTCCGCTCAGAATCGTTTTTCTTATACAATGATATTATATCATTGAATTTAAATTTAATACCATCCATTATACAGTGACCCACTTGTAACCTACTGTACAGCAGAGCGACATCCACTTACCCACCTTTTTCATCTTGATTCCAAAAAATGTAATATTATATTTTTTTAGCTATAGTAGTTTGTAAGTTATATAAGTAAAATAAACTATATGCCATTTATGGCACAATATGTGATAACGGTTTAGATAATTTGTGGCATTTGTGAATATTGTTTTAATAAATACAACAATGGTTTCATCAAAAAACTATTGATTTCAAGTTTATTTTTCAATATTTTGGAAGAAGATAATTGCTGTAATAAGAAAGGTAAGTATAATTTCATTTACAATCTATAAAACTTATTTTTATGAATGTAGTATTTTAAAAACTATATAACTTTCAATGTTTGATGAAACGTTTGGCACAATACATGCTTTATGTATATTAGACATATTATTTAATACATAATGTTCTATCGGTCCTAAATAGTTACATAAATACACACCAACGTTTATTGATGAAATACTAATACCATCAGAGTTTCCAAAAAATTCATTTATGCATTGAAATTTTCTTCCTATAAAACTTATTGTTTTGAACTCGTTATTTTTTTGAACTAAAATATTTTCTACAACAAATATAAAGTAATTATTGATGTTATTATCCATTACAATTATGCAGTTGTCTCGATGAGTATATAAATTTTGTTGTTCTGATTTTCTTATTTGAATAATAAAATGTTCAAATTTCATATGCATATATTGTTCACAGTTTGCATGCTCATTTAATAGTGGTCCATTATTATGATTTTCTTTAAAAACTGGAAAACTGTTGCTAGTTGGCAAATATTTTTCTTCCCTTGCTGATCTATCTTCAATAATTCTATTGTACAATTCAGTTATTGCATATCTTCCAGATTTTAAGTACCTTTTTAATCGGCCTAAGAAATTTTCATACCAGAACGCATTAAATTGATTTATGTTTCCATACCTTAATACATCATTGGGAAGGTGAAGTAATGAATGCACATTGTATGAAATTAAAAAAGTCCCATATATAATTCCAAAAGTGTCAACAAAATATCTTATTAATGATTCTGCAAATTTATTCTCATCTTTATTTGTAGCTCTAGGTGATGAAAGTATACGCATTGCACAGTAAAATGCAATAAAGTTCTTGTAGATAGGATCCGGTACAATGTTTTTAAATATTAATGTCCCTGTATATAACATTATTTGTCTTAATTCAGTTGCCTTAAAATCACGATATTTATTTAGTGACAACGGTATGCGAGCAAAATCTGTGCTCAAAAATGGTGCTATTGTTTCCATCCTTTTATTTATTTCCTTAATTTTTATTGAAGGAAGTCTTACACATCCAAAAGTTCCAGTTTGCTTGATCGATCCATTTACTAAAAGTCTAATTATCTTTTTCATAATACCTATAGCAAATAGTAATAATTTAATAATATAATATAAATATTATAATAATAATTGATATTATTTACCTAAACAGCATAAATGTAGGTAATCTAATGGAAAATTTGTAACCAAACCTAAAGATGGTATTAATAGTAAAGGTGTATCTCCTGTATGATGTTCTGGCTGCAATTTCTCACGAAATGATTTGTCATCTCTTAAATTTGCATTGCCATCAGGAAAACACATACGATTCTCTGTATAATATCCTTCCTCTGTACATTTTTCACAAGCAAAATAAGCCATGTGTCCTTTGATACACTTTAAAAATGACCTATACATTTAATATATTTAATTAATGTAGTTATAGGTATCGATTTAAAATTATAAAGGAAGTAAATGTAACAGATACCTTAGTGTCAGTGGCGTAGCGAGAAACGTGGTGGCCCTGGATCCTTTAAGAGACAGAGGCCTTCTTTAATACAGAAATTAATAATTATATTATAATAAATATATCTAATCGCCCATTTAAAAAACCAATAATTTATATAGTTAGATAACCTACAAGATAATAAATGCTGCCGCTGTACACATTATTTTCGAAATATAAATAAAATTATTTTCAATAAAAATATAATTTAAATTAAAATAATGTTCATTATTTTGTTTGATCTAATGATAAAGATTCTGTGCCCCAACTTGAACATACTTTGGGGAACCAGAGGCCCTAGCTTAAATACGCCACTGCTAAGTGTACACTTAATCCAGATTTTAAGTTTGTGATGTGTATAGGTAAAAGTGATAATAATTAGTCATAATTCATACCTGGCAGGTGCATCAGCTATAAACCCCATAAGTTTGATGTTATATATTTGATTATTTAACTCAAATCCATCATCTAAAATATGATTAATGTCTTCAATTAGTTGTTTCAAGTATTCCGTGACATTTCCTGGCTTTTTGTCCCCACAATAAACTCCAATCACAAATGGAAGAATTTGTTCAGTATCCAATTTTAGACCTCCCATAATTGGCCAAAATTCATGACCTAATATTGGTATTCCGTCTATTGCTATCCAAACAGGTAATATATTTAATTGTTTCAAGTATGGATACTGTTGCAATAAGTGTGTTAAACCTTCTTTTAGTCCCAAATGAAAATATTGACCATTTTCCATTGGAATAATAGATGCACTACCAGATTTAGGACAGTTTAATAGAGTTCTAGAATCTAATGGTAGATTCTTTAACTCATTTAAATCTTCAACATTATGTAATAAGTGCAGTAATTCAGTTACTTTATTCCGTGGTATATTTCCATCAATAATTAAACGAGCTAATTTTTCTTTAAAAGTATATGTATTTAATACTGAAATGGGTGGTAAACATTGTACAAGATTCTTACTATGGTCTATGATATCATTTGGTTCAATTTGCAGTTGGACAGGCGATGTTGTTTTGGTAGTTTCCAATTCTATATGCTCTATTAATGGTGATTGTGAATGATTCTGAGGTAGTATGTCTGAATGTTGGGTTATGGTTATGTTTATTTTTTGATTTTGAAGTCGCCGTAACTGACTTGATCTCTCTAATAGGCGAGTTGGTATGTACGGTTTTTTTGGCATTTCTTCCTGTAGTTCGATACTTCTCCAATTTGTATAATATATTCATATATTTTAGTTCATAAATATTATTTAATGTTTAATTAAAAAGTACAAAGTGATAAGTTAAAAAGTGTTGTTTAACCTCTGATCACGAATTAAGATAATAAGATATAAGTTTAACTTAATTCTTAATTCGTATTTCGTATTTTCGTGCTTCTAACAGGAAATTGGCGCCAAGCACTCATAGATAATACGATTGTAGATAACAAAACAGTTATCTTGTTATCTGTTTCATGTTTGCAGTTTAATGGATTTAACCCATAGACATAATATAGAATTGTTTATAATTTATTTTCACGTTTCACATGGTTTCACCAATCATCAGTAAAATACTAAAATGTCTGATTCTGTACTTCTGTAATTATTGTAAATTGTAATTGTTATTCAATATCAAATTGAATTTCTTTTCTAGAATTTTTCATCCGACATCCGTTATTTTATAAGTTACAAAAATGAGTATTCTGCAGACCAACTATAGTTTAGAATTAGCAACTTTTCAGTACGTTCTTATTGATTTTCCTGAAGACAAGAATGCATTAGCTTTAGTATGCACGAGTTGGATATTTTATTGCGAACAATCATCTGTCTACAAATGTAAATGGCCAGGAAGCATAAATGCCAACAAGTTTGCTAAAAAACGTGTTACACCATCGTTAAACTGGGACATATTTGTATGTAATATCAAACGGTTTTTTCGTAAGTATATACTTGTTATATTTGTATAATATAATATTACACAGGTGTAATCGCCTGTCGGTGTAGAAACTGGTAATTAGGTTTTGTTTTTATTTTTTGACCCAACATCAATACTACTTGAATAATTGTATAGGTTTTATTTTATTTATATCTTATGGCTACTAACTATTACACTCCTTTAACACATAACATCAATTCAGCAAAATCAATATATGTTGATACAAATAAAAGTATAACAGGTGACAGGTCATATAAAATCAACAAATATAGGTAATGTATAATAAGTAGAAGTGTACATGCATGTAACGTTGTAACATGATAACATTTTCTAAACATTTTATGCAAAGTGAGATATAATATCTGAAGGTACTTAAAATTTTTGTAACAAATTAAAATTGTCATATTTATTTTCTGAACATTGAACAATGAACAAACATACAAAACCATAAAATCTGATCCCGGTTACTATTAGTTAGATTTTAATGAAATATTAATGGTATATACTATTAAATGAAATACTTTTAGGTACATATGAAAGTGGCAATGAGAATTTAAAATCTTATACTTCTGATGAGTCGTCATTTGTGGATCCAAATAAACGAAAATTGTTCCCCAACAAACGTTTTTGTTCAAGTTCGGATGATCAGTTAATAGTTGGATTAGAAAAGAAAACTAAACACGTCGAAGCTTTTACTTTGCCACCTATGCCTTTATGTCGATCTAGTAAGTTTTGTGTGTGTTGATTAATGTTATTAATTAATGTATGTAAAATAAAGTTTTGAATTAATGTTCCAAATCCTTGTTAGGTAGGTTAGCCGATTATTTAATTATTTTATTTAAAATTTATACAGCTCAGAAAGTTAAAGTACCTATTGAATCAACA